ACTACTTCCAAAGAGAAAGACTAGATTTTGGTAGCTTAGACTTAATACTTTCTGCCTCGACTTCTCATGCATTGTCTTTACTTCATGCTGGAGAACCCTCCTTTAAAAAGCTGCAATGGCCTTGTGCTTTTGGGACTTGAAACTCAGTAAGGGACACCACTTCTTACAGAAATGCCTTATCACCATGCCCAGATTAGTCGGGGGGGGGGGGGGGGGGGAAATTTAAACCCCCCAAAATCCTCATCTGCTATAAGCTAAGAGACTTGCCAAATTCAGGAGCTAAAATACCAGAGGAGTTCATCCTTACAAATTTCCTGCAAGCTCTTTATACACAACCTGGGAGCAACTAAATTGGATCGAACTATAGCAACAAATCCCAAATTTCTCCATAATCAACGTGCCGAGTGCAACCAGGGACTGCAGTAGGATGCAGCTCCCTCTCAGGCAGCCTCACCAGCTCCAGCTACCACAGGAGGATGGAGAAAGACCTTCATTCAAATATTAACAACAGCAATTGGACACACCTTCCCCCTGCAGAAGAATAACAATTGTTATCAGTCACCAAGTTAGTTACATTAAGGAACAAAGACCTGAGCAATGATTCTGCTAGTTCTGCTGCTGCATTACATGAAGAAGACAATTTACTTTATATGCTTGGAAGAATATGCTTTAATTTAAAAATGAAAATTACTACTCTAAAAACAAAGTGGAAAACAGTAAGGTTGCAAACCTCCTTTTCACACACCACCAGTGGATGAATGTACATCGTGAGAGATTAGCAACCCAAGTCTGAGAAAGCTTACAGCCTGAAGTATTAGTCAAGCCCACTTTGAAGAGTAGGTCCTGATGTCTTAAGGTATTAAATATAGTAAGCCATATCACAGGCTTAAAGTATTGCTCACATTAACTGCCATTCGAAGTGAAGCTGTGAAAATGCAGTGTTTTCATACCCCATCTGTACCACAGTCGTCGTAGTAAGGAAGAATTTTATACTAAACATGCCCTTTTACCTTCCTCCTCTCTCTGCTCCCCATTCCCAAAAAAGGGCAGAAACAAGATGGTGCAAAGCCATTAGTAATTCAGCAACTCCTTTCACAGCTAAGCAAAATTCTTGGAAATAGAATAATTCCAGTTTCAAGCCAAAAGACTAGATCCTGAATAAATCTGTTACTGTGTGACTCTGCATCTCCCTTGCCAACTTCAGCCACTCTGAGACATTCAACAACTGTAAACCAGTAGCAAATAGAAGAAGACAGTGCAGAGGGAACAATATTCAGGACCCAAAACACAAGCGAGCCTTTTGAAGAAAATACTGTTTTCTCCACTACCTAGGTGGCATTGCATCACTTCGTAGCGCTGCCTGCGACATGGCCAATATCCTCCACGCTGGTCAGGTTCTCAGCTTTGCTACTTCTAACTTGCATTGACACCAATAAAGGCTGTAACCATGCTAAGCGAAATCCTACTTTTGAACTGTTGCCTTACTCTATTAAATACTTTAAGACAAATATGCATTTATCAGATAGCGACTCTCACATTTGATTCCTGTGGAAAATAATCCTGAGTAGCATTGCTTTAAATGCAGCCAAAACAGCTTTTCTGAAGTGAAGCTCAACCATAAAACTAACTTTCCAAAAGCAATAAATTACCAAGAGAAAAACGACTATCATCTCTATGTTTAGCAGCCTTAGCATCACATCAGGATATCAACTGCTTTCCAGACCTTCTCCTGTTAGTTTAGGATTGAGGTGCTGTAGGAACACACTGCACAGCTCTGTGCCAAGAGCTGCAGAAGGAAGCAATTCCCTGTGGTGAATTTTGAGATTTCCTGAGCTTTGACCTACACCTTCCCCATTTCAATCTATCCCCCTCACCCTGAAATGCACTAAAAGACAGCCATCATCCCATTAGTGGGTTGTATTTATACAGATCTTAAAAGCCATGTCAAATGGGAAGATAATTACAGAAAAAAAAGGGAAAAAATACAACTAGCAAATAAAATGCTTCATTGAAGATGATAAAAGCATCTCATTCCAATTCTGTTTAATGTTTAATTTGTATACAAGAACAAGGTTCTTCAGTACTTCTGAGCAGGACTATCTGCTTCATTAGATCCAGAGTAACTTGTTAAGATACAGGAAGACTCCGGGAAACCATGTTGGAAAGCCATCTGAAGTGACACTTTGACCTTTTGGGTACAACAAAATCCTGCATCATCAATTCTCTTTTCAGTTTTAGTGTTGGCTGGAAACTAACGTTCTGTCAGAGACCATCTTTCTTGGCAGCAGCTAGAGGGAAGAAACAGAACAACTGGGACTTCCTGGCAGTCATAAATTAATTACTTATTCCTGCAACTCTACAGCTAACTCTACTAGTGCAAATCTCAGCTCTAAGAACTGCCAATATCAATTCTACAAATGCATTTTATAAAGGCTCTGCCCTCTAATTCACACTCTGCTACGGAATCAAAAAATCCCATAATTAACAAAAATAATCATCAAGTAATTTATCTGACACCTCAGTCACAGGGGGCTGCTGAGACAGGTATTGTGTTCCCTTTCACTCAGAAAAGCAGCAGAGCAGTCTACTCTGCCATGCAAGAAAGTGAGAATTCAGGGAAGTGAAGATTCAAAAAATACTTCTTTCAGAATTGAATCCACTGAAGACCATATCAGAAATAAATCAAAGGAAACTGAAATGCATATATTCTTTAAAAAGCTCATTGCAGTAGCTGAAAAGAAAAATCTGAACAAATTCTTTCAAGCAGAAGAACAAAAACAGAACTAGTATGTGCATGTGGGAGGAAGGAATGATAAGGGTCTTTTCCAGACTTTTGCATCTCTTTAAATGTCTTTGTCTCCTTATTTCTTACATGCTGCAAAAGAGAATCTGTTGTGGAAGCCCTGCATTGAATTAACATTTGTTCCATGAATACAGTAGATGTGGGGGAAAAGCCATTATGAAAGAAAAAGGCACAAGTACATTTCATTAGTATTGCTTCACTGAAAATCTGTCGTCTTTTTGGGGTTGTCATAGTCTCATTCCTATCAGCTCACAGTAAGAGTGGAAGAGTAATCCTTTGCGGAAAAAATGAAGTGATAAATACGTATTGGAATTACTTGTTGCACAGCTATGTTAAAGAAGATTAAATGTGTAAAATACTACTGAATGCCCTGAATATTTTTTAGGAGTATCGGAGTCAGAATAGTTCATGAATATGAAACAAAACCAAGCTATACTCAGTCTCCTTTTGGTTAAAAATATTAAGAAATTCTTTGCTCTCCTACCCCTTACCCACACCACAGTTTCTTCAAGTACTTCACAGTGAAAAATAGAGCTAGATGAAAGCAGAACAAATCAAATACTTCACAAATGTCTCATCTGTTGCAGAGCACCTTTAGGTCCCTGTACTCCCGAGGTTTCTCATACACTGCTGGAATTAAAGGTTGCTGCTTTCCTCCTGATGCATATGTATCTTCTATGTCCCAAAACAAACTTTGTTAGGAGATACAAGATTCTTTAAGTGCTTTTAAAAGTAAAAATTAAAGTAAAAGTAAAAAACTAAAAATATTTTCCTAATAGCGATAATTCTGTTTAGCCTGTGAGAGCTCATATACTTACATGCTAACAGTACAGCAAAGCTTTCAGGACTAATTCAGGTGAACTGTTAATAATAAACTTTTTTCTGGTATCTGTCAGTTCCTAAGAAATTAATAAGGATGCTTCCATACATGTTGCAGTCCACCTGAAAGGTAGGTGTTAGCCTTTGCAAATACTTCATCAAAAGAAAAAAAAAAAAGAGAATTTTAGCAATGTGAGCATGGTAAACACATTTTCCCCTTCCAACAAAAGTGCAGCACAGTAAACGTAACATTGCGTGTCACTATGTGAGAGAATAAATTAATAGTGGCAAACACAGAAATTTAACAGTAAGTAAAGCCTTCATATATATGTTGAGGGGAAAAAATACAGATTAAAAAAATTCAAATGTGACTGAGAACTGAAAAATACATAATTAAAATAGAAGTTATGCCACAAAAAAAAAAAAAAAAAAAAAAAAAACTTCCCCTGTGTGTTACAGGATTGTATTTTAGTGGGGTTTTTCCAAGAAGGCTCCTCATAACAGTAAACCGTCTGTAACTGATCTGGTGGTAAAAATATTATTCTGTTCTGAGTTAGCCTAAGAGACCACAGGCAAATGCTCAGGAAAAGGTGATTACAAAGACTACTTTCATTCTGAAGGCCTGAAGATTTTCTCATCTGTAAAGCTTGCCTAAGCACAGACTACATACATAGAGACGCTCACTAAAGCAGAAGTGTTCCACATCTGGAAACAAAGTCAGGGGATATCAACCTCCAAACTTTAGCCTGAAATGGAGAAAACTTGACAGTGTAAAGAGAAATGAAAAGAAAGCAAAGAACTTCCTGTGAAAAGCCATTCCTGTTCAAGCCAGCCCACTTTAGTACATTATTGAAATTGCCCCTTTTTGATGTATTTGCTTCAGTGTAAATTTAAGTACAGTTACAACCCACTCCTCAAAACAGAACAGGAAAATAAGCAGACATGCTTATTTTCAGTAACAGAATAATCTTTGAACTCCTCTACCAATCCTTTCAGCTTCAAGTAAAGCTTCTGTTCAGGAAATGTGATATAAAGTTTCTTTAAATATTAGCAGGTAAAAAGTGAACTACTGTTTAGATCCTCAGAATGCCGCTATGTCAAAAAGGAAGGTTGTAACAGAAAACAAGAAACATCCACCCTGCTGGGGTGATTCTGAAAGTGTAATGCACTTCCTGTAACATACACAGGGACCAGCTCACATGAGAAATAATTTCAATAGTAACACTGGAAATAAGCCAAACCCTGACACTTAGAGAAACCTCCAATCTAAATATATCTACAATTCCTTTACAAATATTCATCAATAAATATACTGTCTGTAAGAACAATGGCAACATGCAAAGAAACTACCTAATACAGTCAAGTAAAAGCTGTTACATTAATTTAACATTACCCTTTATTTTTCACAAGTTTTTCCAACATGTGCATTTTGGCACGGTAGACTTTGAGATAGTTTGCTTCAAGTTTCTTTAAATTACAAACAGTAGATACAGTAGGAATATTTTAAATCGATTTCCTTAAAATAAATGGCAAGTTAAGGCCCTTCGCTTTAAAAGAGAGACTGCCACAATTTCATTTTCCTGATACAAAATTCAAGTAATTTTAAGTAAGAGTAGAAAATTGTCTTTATAAAACATCCTATTATGAAAATTTACCAGCACTCTGAAAATAAACATCAAATTTCCAGTATCAATTGGGTGCAATTACACATTTAGAAAAATAACTCATTTTAAATGAAGGTCACTTGGTGAAGAAAAGTAAATTTTCAACAGGATGCATTTTTAAAACAAATGATAAACCATTTTTTCTTAGCTAAACTACTTAATCTTTGCTCCATCTCCACAAATTATTTTTTTCTTCTAAAGGTGTATATTTCACTATTGAAAATGAATTAAGAAAACAGGCTACCGAGATGTTTTCCCTTCAGTATGTACCAGCATATGGAATTATTGCTTATCCTCAACAACTGTATACAAGATTCACTTGATTTTGGTTTTATGCTTTGGTTTTTAATTGGTTGGTACCAAATATACACACCACAAAAAACTTTAGCTGTGTCACTTTACTGAATGAAAACCACAATAATTTTTGCAGATAATTTTGCATCTAGGCTTGTTTGGTTTGGGGTTTTTTTTCAACAAGAAAATAGATTCATTATAAAATGCTTTTCCATTTTCCCTTCTTACCTACTTTTTTAAGACAGCAGAATGGAAAAATAAGCAGGACATGTTTACTTTGTGACTCAAGGCTCAGAGCAGATATTGAGAAATCTTCAACAATTTTAGAACATTTTCTTTTTTTCATTCTTTTAGCCCAAAGTAACTTTGCTGTCTAGGAACAGTAACTTAAAGTTTCTTTTATCACCATCTTCAAGAAATCTATAAATAAATGTTTATGTAAGGAATCAAACACTGCTGAAGAGGGAAAAAAATAAAATTAAGGATCAATAAATGATACTGCAATGTATCTTGTGCCATTCAAGATAGGAAGTCCTTCATGTAAATGAGTAAGTCTTCCTGGGTGCATGAAACTCCATCCTTTCCTGGGAGACTCAATGGAGCAGTTGTACCTAAGAAATTTACATCCACCTCCCTGTAGCAAAAATAAAAACAAAACAAAATCCCAAACATTTACCTTGTGTTTAAATTGAGTAAGTTCCTTTTTATTTATCCAGAACTTAAAATATTTTGTTATTATTAATAGGCTGTTGACAGTAAATTTTTTTCACTATCTCTACTAACAAGGTTGTTTAAATGACACCATCTTCAGAGCAATACATAACAGATATGCATTTGCAAACAAAGATTTCCCCTTGCTTTGCTTTAGCATTCCCTGGATAACAACTCAGTCAAGCAGCAACTCTGACAAACAGACCTTCAATAACTTTACTGTAGATGACACCAGGGAGAAGCAAATCTTATTCACAGGCCTTGTTCCAGGGCCGCATCCCTATCCAGGACAGCATTTAAAAAAATCTTAAATAAATTAATCTGGCTGTTGCTTTCAAACTGAAGGTGTATTTCCTAAAGTACTAAGTTTGAGAAACACACTTAGGGGTGTTAAGTAGGACTGTGAGTAATACAGGTTTATACAGAAAACAAGTTAAGTTTCTCTACTAGTCAAAGCTGAATATTACTGCCACAGCCCTGCCTATCTCCATACTCTGGGGACTGGTTTATTTGAACCAATATCAAAGTAGAAAGTAATTTATCTCAGAAAAAAATAATCCAGGAACAACAGTTGAAAATTTTCATTCTGTGGCTTATCTAAAAAAGAATCATTTAAAAGAAGCCATTTGAGACAACTTGGGACTATTTAAAGTATTTTGAAAAATTGATTTTCACTGTACAGAAATGAAGCATTTCAGAAATGTTAAAAATGAAATGGTTAACACCTCCGAAGTTTTTCTTTAAACCCCTTATCCCCCACCATCTGAAACCATTTTGACCAGTTCTGCATCCCACAATCGAGGAAATTTAGTACTTGTCAAAAAACACCAAGGAATAACATATCTCAATTTGTGACGCACATCTTTTCCTTTTCAACATCATCTTTAAGAATATCCATTCGGGCTCTAGTTTGGAAACAATATTAGGAACTCAAAGAACAACAATTTTTAAGTCATTAAATTGTCAACTTACTTGAAAGTCCTCTCCTACTTTGTTGAGAGCAATGTTAATTGTGAATGTAGAGGAGTCATGATGGGGTCTAAGCGACCGTTGTCTGTCCGGGCTGTATTTTACAACAAAATTCAATAAAGCATAGCCCTGAAACAAAATATACAGTCAGACATCAACAAGTGAACTTATGAACAAGTCACACATGGGGTTCTTGGAGGGGTTTTTTGTTTAAAGCTGAGTTAACAACTCAACAACATTCCTCTATAACTACTGCTACATCATGTATAAACTCCCCAATCAGAATAACTAGGGTATATTCAATAAAATACTTAGAATTACTCATGCCACACAGTAATTATCTGCAAAAATTTTAAACACATACCTTGGTATAATAGCCAGCAAACACTTTTAGCGTTACTGGAGCAATGAACTCTCTTATGAAATGCAGCCATTCGTTATCCAGTCCAATTTGCTTCATATGAATATCATCAGTTGGGACATTTTCATAACCTCCAGAAATACGGCTGTCCTAATGAAAACACCATAAATAGCCTTGAAATATGGACACGGAATGCTTCTGGCACTTCTAAAAATACTTATTTGAAATCTGCAGAATCACAAAACTGCAACAAAGCAATGCTTTAGTGGGCATATGTGAGCTTGCTGTACAGTAATTTCACAGCTAACTGCTGTAAAAAAAAAAAAAAAGCTGAGCTCTCAATGAGCAAAAATTAGAAAATTTTTAAAAAGGTGAGTCAATATTTGGATGTGTTGCCTGCAGTTAAGGGTTTCCTGGGGTAATGATTTTATTTATTGAGATGTAGATGCAACTGAAGTTATATCAGATCAAGAGAATACTGGCCTCAACTTGACAAGGTAATAAATGTTGAAATAATTTGGAGTTAAAAGTATGTTTCTGGAGGCTTCTCCCTGCAGTAAAATAATGACTGTAATTTATCGTGTTTCCAAGGTACCACATTTGTGAATATGACAAACATTCCTCCTATTTTAGCAGTAGTTAATGAATACCTTCAACTTTCTGCCGACACAAACACAAACACAACAGCTCATAACATTTGTGGGTAACTGCTTAAGGGGACAAATCTGACAAATTAGTACTTAAGAGGTAAACAAGTAGAACTTTGAACAGTTACCAACATCTATCCAAGATCAGGCTTGGATAACTGTTGGATAACTACTACAGCAACTGCGCCACTGCTACTCTCCGAATTTGCTAGTTCGAGGTTAATTGAGGAATATCTCTAAATCTACTGAACAAGCTTCATGATAGACTAAACTAAACATTTTATACCATGAAACAGATATCTTGGGTTATTGGCAATTGTTGGAATGTTTGTTTGTTGTAGTACGATGTGACTTCTGCTTATAAAGGTATTGACTCATTAAGGTCATGTTTATATTAGCTGCACTTACTTGGTGTTTTCCACCAGACCATTGTCCAAAATGTTCCATTTCTTCTACCAATTCATCACAGGCAGTGTCAGAAAATATGGGAAACCAAAACACATCGGGACATGGCTACAAAAGCAAATAAATAAAAAAATTAAACTACATTCATCTCTTCCAGTGGAGTTAAGCTTTAACAGCTATCTTTTATTTTTCAACTGCTAAAAAAGGACATCTTCACTTTTCTTAGACACTAAAGAATATCAGCTGTTCTCATCTGAGCCATAATTCAGATACATTTAAATAATTAAGTTTTGTCTTGATCCACAAGCATATTCTCACAGAACAAAGCAAAAACTACAAGCTACCTTGTAAGCCATGAGCCAGCATTAACAGCTGTCTCAGCATACCCATGTATTCTGTGCCTTGGTTGCTCTAAATAACAACCCTGATCTTCTAAATTACAAGCTATTAAGAAAAGCAGGTTAAAACTTAACATTGTTTTAAACACAAAACCAACGTATCCTGGCTTCTTAAGGAAACACAGTTCATTAAATCACTGTCCCTAATTGTCACAGGACTGATCATCCAACACTGGTACAACAATTACCTTAGAAGCGCTCTGTCTAGATCAGTTGCATGAAAGCAAGCAGCCAGGCAGATTTTGAAGGAAAAAAAATAAAAGGAAAAAAGAAAAAAAAGAAAAAAGAAAAGGAAAAAAAAAGAAAAAAGAAAAAAAGAAGCCTCTTCAGATCCAGCAAAAGGCTTTAACTTTTGTCAGACCTTCTGCTAGTGGTACTAGTTCATAAATATATCTGTATTTTGGAGACAGCAATTACTTGGACAACTACATTATTCTGAGAACTCTAGCAATTATTTTTTGGACTCCCCTCATCTAGTTTTCAGAATGGCAAAAATTCAGTTCTGATCCAAAACATCAAAAAGCTTTTCAGCTGTGGACCAAAACAGCATTTGCATGGAAATAGTTACTGTATACCAAATGATTATCAGTCAACCCCACAAATTTTAAGAAAATTACTTATACGCACCTGTTCTACTATATTATCAGTGAAGATCTTTGAGTAGTTTGGATTTATATAGGTTTCCTTCCAGTCCTAAAGTCATGATTTTAAAACATTAAAAGAGAATAAATGAATTCATAAGTTACAAAAATAATTTCTATTCATTTGCCCTACTGAAAGCTTTGGAAAGAATTAAACAATTTCTTATACCCATAAACAAACTGGCTCTCATCATGTCAAATCATGAAACCTGTAACATCAGGGCCATATATCCAACTCCTTACTCTCGTCATCATTTGGCTTGTTGATATGATACATTATCATTTGCTTAAATGAGTGGCAGAGAACACCTTTTAGTACACAACCAATTTTTAGTGTATAATAAACAAATGTTCTCCACGTAAAGTCTTTAAATCCCAAGTCCTTTACAATAAAGAAACCTTTAGAATTTTTTCAAATAAAATAACTGTTTCATCAATAATTAGATGCATACCACAGGATTTTCAAATATCTGCCAGAGGTCATTGTTGTAGTGGGAGGTATTATAATTGGCTGTAGAAATAAGTCTTCCAAATTCATGTCTGTTGGTAATGTACATGAAAACACCCTATACCAAGTAGAGAAAATGTCATTAGCAAAACTGTCCATCTTTGCAAAAATGATGTTTCAAAAAAGTCCGTTTGTTTATGCCTGCTCTTTCATAAAATATATCACACAGTTGTACATACATATTACACACATGCTGTTCATTTAGCATCTTTAATTTTCAAATGGTTGATTCTAATCAGCAACTAGTGTTCATAATTTCTTCTTTACAAGCATTTGGTTGAATTTGTTTTCTAAACACGTTATACCAAAACATATATTGTTCATAACATAAACACACATACACTTATAGAAAGGAAAAAAACAGAGAAGTGGTTGGTTGATTTGTTTTCCAGAAAACCTAAGCAGACACGCTGGAAGCACCTGTTCTCAAACTGAAAATACTCCTACAAGAAAACCATCATCTGGGGTTTAGTTTCTGATTAAAAACTGAAAGATTAAGCTAAGAATAAAAAGGCTACTGGAAGTCAGAACAAGAAACTTATTTCAGAGTATTCACTACATGATCCTCTGGTGAATTGGCCTGAAATAAAAAGATATTGGCAAATACAGCATAAAAGAATATTCAGATCAGGGTACAAAACAGCTGAGCACTGTGAAGTATGTTTGCTTAAGCAAACACTGCAAAATATGTGCAAGATATCAAGTGTGGTAAGATACAGCTTTATTATCAAGTTATTAACAGAAGATATTAACAAAACTCTCTTGATTAGAAATAGTAGCAGAAAATAGTTCTTCTTAAAGAAATGTAGGGTTTGTGGGGTTTTTTTTTCTCAGTTTACTGTTTTTCAGACTAAAACCACATTTCAAAAGTGTTTGTGGCCTTTAGATATGCAGCAGATGAAGACATTCTTATTTAGATATTTTGGTGTTTCTGTCTATGTTTCTGTCTGAAAAAGAGTTAAACTGTTAGAAAGATAATTATTATGTTAAACATGTGCCCGGTTTTGGGCACTTACCAAATCATAAAATAGCTGCAGCAGGGAGAATAAGGAGGGTCTGGGTCAACAAAAACAGCTTAAAATGACACCAATTTCACAAATGCCCTGTGTGGTCATCAAGGGGGCCTGGCTGACCCACTAGTGATTTGAACTTTCCTCCCTAGGACTGCGGAAACAATTTTGGCTACAGAAGCACAGCTTCAGCACACCTTGACATCAGAAGCATTGAGAAACCTCCCTGAGGAAACAATGAGCCCCTCTAAGATGTTTTGAGCTGGTCATGAAGAACCTGTCCCTGGCAACAACTTGAACCTTAGAAGACTAAAGAGAAAGCTAGAGCAGTATTTCATTAGAGTAAGTAGACAGAGGAGAAGTATCTTCCTGTGGTAGAATAATACTGCATGTAATAATAACTAATGAATAAAAAAAATAAAGCAACACCTTTGGGGGTCTGAGCATATGGAATGTTTCCGAAGAAGGGGAGTCTTTTTCCCTTTGTAAAGTCTAAAATGAAGGAGAATCATCACATCAGTTTTCTGATACATAATCTCTTTCTCTTTTTCCGACTACTACTAGGTTTCCACAGTTACATTAGGGAAATAGCAGCCTTTGATCTGAAGCTGATATGCCTTTACAGACAACATGCATCTCCAAGCAAAGCTCATAATACACATGTCAAAGCTGTTTCACCAGCCCCTTCTTATCTGCTGCAATACAAAACCAAGCATGTACCAGGCCATCTTACAGCCCAGACTGAGAAAGAGGAGAAGAGAAAGCAATTTTATGATGAGCCAGTCCGATTAGTTTAATGAGCACAGGGGAAGCATGAGGATGCAATAACTGATGCTGAGAAGGTTTGAATACAACAGAATTGGATGGGGATGTTCTGAAGAATCAGTACAAACAAAGGAGATCATGCCTTGTTATGAGGAAATAAAAAAATTAATACTTGCCAACTTTTCTTGTTCAATTCAGCAAAATTATTTTTCAATGCTATAGTGTCTGGAAATAGGTCTGGTTTAGGTCTTATTTGTTTCTGTGCTGAAACTAGTGTAAATATCAGTAGAAATGTGGATTTACATATTCATATTTTTACAGTACAAATAACTTTTCTCTCATTACTTACAGCTTAATGCAAGTAACAAATTTCTGACACAGTTTTAATCTATCTGGAAAAATTAGTAATTAATTCATGCTCCCTGAGAAGATTTGTACAATTTCATAAATCACTTAGGCTTTTTATATCAACACTTCCTGTCACTAGTTCAAATATGTATCTATTTAAATATAAAATTGAAAAATATTCCAACTTAGTCTGCTAGAAGTTTCACACTGTGTAAAAACATGCGTAATAGGGGTGTTTTAAATGCAGTGGTAAGTTTGAAGTCAAACACAGCAGAGGAGTTGAGCCCTCTTTGATCCTGTTGAGGTTGTGCCAACAAGAGAGGTATTTTAACCTCAATAGGAATTTTCGTGCATTTAAATAAAAACCATCATGCAGTCAGTGCACCAGTGCACTGGCCTGGCAAAAACATCTGTTCTCAACAGTTTAAAGAAATACACCTAAAATGTTCTATGTCACAAAAATTGGCCAGTACTTTGAATTAGAAGTAAAAATATAATATCCAAGATCAATCAAGTGAAGCAGTCAAGTGTAGCAGGACAAAGAAGTCTGTGTGTATTTAAAAGCAAGCTGTTATAGATACACCTTACCATTTCCCTGGCATTTTTTTTTTAGAGCCATATCAGGATCCAATTTATCACGCATAAAGTAATTCTTTTCTTTCATCTCCAGTCTGAGAGTTTGTCCCTTAATTAAGTATATGTTAGCCATATAAGGAATATTCCATACTCCTCTGTTAAAAAAACAAAAAACAAACAAACAAAAAAAATAGCACAAAATGCAAATAGTTTAAAGCCTTGAAAACTAATCTGTTGCCTAGTCTGTCAAATCAGCATCTCCGTATTTGCTGAAAAGACTAAGCAAGTTTCAAGGAAATGAAGCTGAAAGGTTCCCAAGACATTTGAAAAACTACAGCTGGACAATGTGGACATCTCAAACATAGGCAGTAATTCAACTTTGATGAAGTATTATTATAAAAAAAAAAAAAAGAAAGGTCAAATTCTCTAAAGAGTTTTAACTACAAATGTACTTCATGTTTCCATAGTTAAGGCAATCAGTCAAACTCTTACAATATTATTCTACACTACCAGATGGAGAAAGTAATTCTAAAACAGATTTTTAAGTGAGTTTACAGACTTCACTGAGGCTTCACACAGCTGGTCTGACCTCCTCACACAAATACCCGCAGACCACAGCAGGCCACGTATTTATGTCAGTTGGGCCAATATCAACAAAAAAGCATTGCTGTCACAACGCTCGCTCTGCAGATTTCCTCCCTCCCAGTGCCACGAGCACATCTTTCTGTGAGACTGAAAATGAGCCAGTCCTATTCAAGCAGTCAATCTGGTTTAGACCTTTTTGTTCTTCCAGGGCAATGAAAAGGTATCACCACATGGGAAAGTCAAGCTTAGAAAAACTTAGATCACGTTCATTAAGGGGAAGGATAAACCCAAAAGGCTAAGTGACAGAACTATTTCTCAAGAGCTCCTTAGGATATACCTGACATAATATACAGGAAGAAACACATGAAGAATTATAGTTGTTCAGTTGATTAAACATTTGCCCCAAAGAGATGACGAAGTTATTTGATGAATGCAACAATCATTTCTTTTGACTGAGGTTCCTGGCATACAGTTTAGGGTTTGCTATTTGTTTGTCTTGCCATTTTTGTATTATGCACTGCTAGAGGAACCAGACACAATCAGACAGGTACTAGTAATGACTATGTCCATTACTAATACCAGCTCATCGTGTTAAACACTTTGCTTTTTTATTCAAGCTGTAAATGGGAAAACATTTCTATTCCTATGAAATAGAAAAAAACTAAACAATAAAACTAACCAAAGCTATTCAGGAATACCAGATTGCATGAAAATGTAAGAATATGTTGCTAATAAGCATACTGGGTGCCTTGACTTTAAAAATTAGCTTACAATTACTTACACTCTGTTTCCTTGGACAATATCAACATAATCTTCTGATCGAGCATAATAGCCATCTGGGCTCAAAGCACCCCAGAAATTGGACCAAAGCTTCCCATGACGAGTTACAAGCGGAGCAATTATCTTTCTGTGAAGTGACATATTGAATAGGAAAATGTGAACTGTTATACATAGACTATATGTCAAAATATACCAGCTTTCCTCAGTTTGGAGTATAGTGTAGTTACAAGACCAGTGACTGTCAAATCATGACCTATTCTGAACTTAAGCTTGAAGAACAGCAGCCAAGTACCCACTGCCCAGAAACAATATCAGTGTAACAGAAGCAAAGTTTCCTATAAATCAGAGGTGGCTTGATTTTCAGTCAAGCAAAAAAATACTGCCCGTAGCATAATGACAAAAAGTATCACAAAGTCAAAGACCAAAAAAAAAAAAACAAAAAAAAAAAAAACCAACCAAAAAAAACCCACACCACACCACAGTGGGACTTAGCTTACCCAAAACTTAACAGAGTCAAAAGGGGAAGACTAAGTTGACCAGAATAAAATTAAAATGGTACTTTGTTTCAGAGGATGCCTACTGGTAGACATATTTTGCAAAGCTTATGTTTCTTCCACCTAGTGTACCTGACTTTTAGCCTCTTTCTACAACAGCAAATATTACAAGGAATATAATGCAAAGGACCGACAGCCATATCTTTACTTAAGCTCCAACCCTTCTCACTAGTAGGTCAAAACAGACGTTGATAATTTATGTTTCTGATACACTTGAGATTCCCTGATTTATGACGAGGCAACCACCATCTACATACCTACCGTAGGAAGTTACAAATTGGCAGGAGTGAAGCACATAGCCTGCTGAAAGCTGCTGCTGCTGCTGCTAAGGTCACAGCTTTGTATAACTTAAGAGAACATACTAATACAAGGAGAGACTGGGCATTACAGCTGCTTCATCTCCAATACCTTTCCACTGTTTTATTGCATCTATGATTTAAAAAGAAAGTAATAATACTGAAATACTACAGTAATAAACTCTAGGGAGTTTTTGTTAGTTTTGTTTTGGGGGGAATGTTGGGTTTTGGGGTTGGTTTTTCATAAGATTTTGTGTGTCACCAACTTTGAAATCATTAGTCAGTGAAATCTTAATTCATTTAATAAAACCTGCTTACACCATACCATTCTCTTCAGAGGAACTTTGAAGCATTTGAAATTCACACCAGGAATTGTTGCTTGACAGGAACAAAATGCTTTGTGAATTGTTGGCCTCTGAGCCTGTTATGAGCTATGACAACCAAATACCACAGGTAAACAGAGAGGATCTAACTCTGCAAGGATGGGATCTTATTTTCTCTGGATGGGCCCCAGAGAATCCTTTCAAGTTGGAGAAAATTCTGTAAAATCAAGAGATATACCACACCTGTTCTGTTCCATCAGTATTCTTAAAGTTTTTGGGTTTGTCAGCACGACATCTGCATCTATGCTGAAGTAATATTCACATGCTTTATCCTGGCGACAAAGGTCCCTAAAAAGATGAAAAACAATGGTTAACTCACACACGTCCAGAAAAGATCCACAAACAGCAAAACAAAAAAAATGCAAAAACCCAAACCACAACGAAGTGCTCTACTTATACATTGCATTAAAAGCCCTCTGCAGTGTGGTATAGTAAAAGAAAGGTGTCTTTAGATTACAGTAGTGTGATAAAGTAAAAGAAGATTTAAAAATATGGATCAGATGCCTTATTTTTTTCTTTTAATAAACTAAGTGATGTCTAACCTTTACCAAGTTCAGTAAGAGCTACCATGCACTGTCCTAATGGAAGACGGGGCTGGGGGGAATCAAGCTACTAATTTATATAGCTGGATATCAGTACAGTCGCTTAATAGTGAAGTATGAGCTTATTAAATAAGCTTCCCTAGTAAGTAACTGCATGTGGCTGTAACACTGTCTTTGGGGAAAGATGCGGCAGATGAGATCTGCTGATCTGAACAGTAATTGAAACCTTATGGTGAGATGGAGAGTGTCAGACAAAAAGTATAAAGAAATATATATTTAAAGATCTTTTCTTAGTCTTCTTGTGACCTACAAGAATAACACAGTTGGTAAACAGAAATATAAAACAATTGCACAGACGGTGAATGGAAATTAGAAAAAGGAATTTAATTTGTCCCATACACTATTTCTATCAGAATAAATTATTTGCATAGATTTCCACACCTTCAAAACAAAGCTTCAGCCAAGCAGAAGACACATTCTACTCTAAATATGAATACAAGATACACAAACTACATTTGTATGTTTCTGGCAGGGTACACAAGCTAGATTAAGATCCCCATAGAGTGAATCCAGCTTTCCTATGCCAAGAGAATAGCAGGCAATTATAGTAAATCAAATATACTTTTAGAAGTGGAACAAGCAGTAGCTTTCTATCATGCAGGTGTTTTATTGATTTTGTCTATTTTCCCCACTATTATTGACAGAACTTGCATTAATTCCATCGTAACTGCTTGAAACATTAGAATTATTTTACTTTCTTGCTTTAAAGCATCTATAAACACTGTTTTAGTTTAAGTTCCATGCAATTTGATTCTTTGTGACTGTTTTTGCAAAGGAAAAGATCTCTGTCACTTCAGAAGATCTGATAAACGGTGGATGTGGCAGGCTACATACAAGTCAAGGCAACCGCTGGCATCGCTTCCTGCCCTCCTCCTCTGTCACCCTCCACTATCTAACACAGCACTTCACTCAGCATTTGTCTGGCTCCTGTAAGGATCACTACTTATCAACGCCTTTTGGGTCTTTTTGTTCAAACTTTCTTCTGCTCAAAGAACTTTAGAAGTTGGAATCACAGTAGAAGGTAGAGCTTTTTTATTCCATAAATTTAAGCAAACGTTCCTCTTCAAACTTGACCACTAAAGGTGTAGTAGTGATTTGAGCCACATTTTTAAAATACCAAAACAGTCTTCCCACTACTGCCACCGCGTTTGGACACACACCCATAGTTTAAATCTTTGGTCAGTCTCTGGTTTTGCTTTAACTGACATCTCCTTCACTGACAGTTTTCTATCTTATGTATACATGGGTTTATGACAGCAATTCCTTAATCAGCACTTTCTTTCATAATTACCCCTGTTGAAACCAGCAGGCTTTATTTCGGCCATAACACAGCCCAGTAATGAGATCTTTATGGCATTTTCCATTACTAGCCTGTTCTGTTCAAAGCTTCACAAATACTGAGCACAATTCACATGTAGCTTTATCATTAGAATAATTACAATTATTAATAGTAACCTTTTACATTGCTCTTGACATTAGATATTATTTTTTTTCCAAAAATATTCAGCTCCTTTATCCTCATTCTACTAATGAGGAAACTAAACCTGAGAGACCAACAGACTCGATGCCTGTCCAGGATTCCAGCCACAACACTAGCCAGCACCTCCCCAAAAGCAGCTAAACCTTTTGCTGCTAACAAAAATATGAATGGAATTGATGTTTCTAATTATGAAATGTGAAAAAACAAATGGAATAGATTTATATTTAGTTGTAGGCAAACATGACTGGAAAATTGATTACATAATTTCAAAATGTATGGTTCT